ACTTTAAGGTCATCATTTTCAAAGGAAACATAAGAGAAATACTGAGGTGCCCATGGCTGACCTTCTGCTGAAAATTCTAGTTGCTTAGTTTTCATACTGAACCAATAAGTATAGTACTTTCAGAGATACTCATCCCAAACAATTTACAATGTAGGCTCTCCAAGTAAATTTATAGCCAGAGAAAAGAGCCAACACCCTAAAAAAAGCTTGCTATTAGACACTGTTTTTTCCTCAGCCGATTCAGCAGAAAATGGGCCAGAATTCGATTCGTATATGGCCAGCTTTAAGTATAGGTTTATGCTAAATAAAACATATGCCTGAAGGTCGCATCTGTCCATGAATAGCATTTTAATGTGAATTCCTCTCCTTGCAATTATCTTTAAGGCCCTGGGATGCTTGGTACACATTACCTCTTTATTACAAGATCCATGTAGGAGGAGAGAAACAGTTTACACAGCCCAAAATCAACCACTACTACCATCAACACATAGAGGTCTGATTGTAAATGTTGTAGAGAAGAGTCACCGGCACACCAACTGCGATATAACTTTGTCCTTTAGTGACGCAAGTCAATCATATCACAAAGCAATATTGACACCATGCCTGAGTGTTCCATTAAGGACAATACAACTGTATAGGATAACAGCAGGACTTTTCTGTATGCTGGATATTAAGGTTCTGACCGACTCAAAAAGATGACTTTTTCTTAACAAATCACAATTCTCCGGATCATGCACATGCTGATTCCTAAGTGCCTACATTCATGAACTGGGTGATTCTACGAATATACAGTAAGACAATTTGTGACTTGATGGACTAATGTCTTTATTCAACCTCAAATACTATGTAACTATGTAACTATGTTTGTATTACTGTATTAAGGGAAATAAAAATTGTGCAGATGGGTGTTCTCTGCTATAGCCATGCGATCATACACTGATGAAGGCCAGTTGGGGCAATTGTCACCCCACATCTGTGGCCAGCTAAATAATACGAAAATACACTTACTTGTGTTTGTTCAGCTCCTGAGCGTTCTGCAGAAGAGACTATCTAGTGTTGTAGAAGACGCAACACGCAACCTCTTCCTATAAACCTACCCACAGGAAGAACCGGTTTCTCAGACTGCTGCTAAGTTCCTTTGTATCTACACTTATTTTGTCTGTAAATTCAAAAACAAGAATACAACCTATCACAGCAATGGAATTCCTTTGTGTCACTAGCTTCAGGGCTTATCAGCATGGAGTATCCCTTCCTTTTCTGTTAAAGGATACTAGTAAAAAATATTTGTATGTTTCTGTTTTGCTTTTTAGTTTGAAATTAATTTAATGCATTTTCAGAACTATTCTATTTGTTCTATTAAACAAATTATTTAATTTCAGTGGCACTGCACATTGTATATATTTTATAGTTATATATACAGTATATATATATGTGTATATATATATATATATATATATATATATATATAGATATATAGATATACGCAACCTGTCCAAAAAAAAGGTCACACACTCTGATATTTTGATGGACCACCTTTACCTTTGATTACGGCACACATTCGCCGTTTGATCATTTTGATAAGCTTATGCAATGTCACATCTATGTCCATCCAGAGTTGCATTAATTTTTCACCAAGATCTTGTAGTGATGATGGGAGACTCGGACCTCTGTGTAAAGTCTCCAGCACACCACAAAGCTTCTCAATGGGGTTAAGGTCTGGACTCTAGTGGCCAATCCATGTGTGACAATGATGTCTCATGCTCCCTGAACCACTCTTTCACAATTTGAGCCCGATGAATCCTGGCATTGTCATCCTGGAATATGCCCAATGTGCCATCAGGGAAGAAAGCATCCATTGATGGAAAAACCTGGTCATTCAGTATATTGAGGGAGGCAGCTGACCTCATTTTGTGGGCATATAAAGTTGCTGAACCTAGACCTGTTATCCAGTGGAAGGCTCTGACCTATTTGCTTAGCTAAATACAGGTGGTGGCTTTTCTTTTTTTTGGACATGCAGTGTCCATATGATATATAAACTGTGTACATATTATAAAAGAAGGGGGGATTAGGACCCATGTCCTGCTTTTACTGCTATCCATTAAAGAGATTTTCCCTCACTTTCTGTCTCATTGACCATGGTTTTACCAGCCAGGAAGTGAGAGAAGATTTTTAAATGGAACATAGACAGTAATACAAATCTAACAAAGATTCTAGCATTCCCCTACTCTACTAAATATAAAAATGTGTCTCTATTAATTTCTGTCTGTGTTACACTTTCCCTCACTTTTCGTCTGGTAAACATTGTTGGCAGGACAGTAAGAGAGGATAGATCTCTCTAACGAAGCCTTGCATAGCAGTAAAAACTGAACATGGGTTCTAACCGTTCCTTGCTATCCCAAACCGATTAAAAAAAATGCCTTTTAAACAGATACATTTGTTTCTTTATATGTGAAAGTAATTCTTGTTGTGACAGTATTTGAAATGAGACAACCAAAAGGACATAGCCAAGAGGCACTGGAACTTCAACACTTATTCACTCAAAGGAATGAGGAGAACATAATCATTCGGTGAGCTCACTGGCTCTGGTGAGGCTGCTAACATGAAGAAAGGCTCACTATAATAATGGATACCATGAGTGTGACTCAAAGCAAATCAGTCCAAATCACTTTAAAGATTCATAGTAAGATCACATAAAACAGTCAATGCATTTTGGGGGACAAACCGCTCCCAGTGTAGCCCTGATGGAGGTGGAGCAGTTTGGCCCCCAAAATCCGCTGTATGGTTTATACGATTGTTGTACTATAAACTATTAAAAAAGAACTATGAGGTGAGTAGAAATCACTAATCCTCATAGTTCTAGCCGACCTGTGACAATTAAACTGTCCCACCCCGGCTCAATAGATTGGGAAGTGAGCGAACACATATCGTCGCTCGCTCTCTTCTCGATCATCTCCCTGCAGAGAGCAGCGACTGTCAGTCACGGCTCCCTGCATGGAATCCCCCCCCCCTCCCCTCTCTGATCCTCCTGCGCTGAGTGGAGGAACGGACAGGGGAGGGGGCGGGTACAGCTGTCTCTGTCTCTAGATAGGCAGAGCCAGCTGTCACTCACGCAGCTGTGTGGATCTCTACAGTAATGACGGGATCCGTCCTGGCTGCGGCGGTATACTATGCTTTGGGTCGCAGGAGGAGGTTAGTATGTGTCCTCCCTTGACCCTTAAGAGAACTATGGGGAAAAACACTTACCGCATAGTTCTCTTTTAAAGCGGTTTTCACCATTCGATTTTGCATTCCTGCTGTATTCCAATGAAATGGCACTCTTGCCTATACCCACAAGTAAGTTTCCAGCTGCCTTAGCAAAATAAAAAAAAATAGTTACTTTGGTATTGTAGGCAATATTTCGTCTTCCTCTTTTATCTTCCCTTTTTTTATTTCTGTAAATGAGAGATTTAGTTTTGTTGCAATACTTTGTTCCTTTTGTTGCATTAATTTTCTTTTTCTAATTTAGAGCTCGTCTTCCCGAGAAAGATTGCAGACCACAACTGCCCTTCGTCTCACAGAACCCTATTCTTTGTGATGGAATCTTATCACGCAGAGAAGTGTCCTTCCTTTGATAGGAAACACTGAGTTTGCTCATTTTCAGGTTGTCGGAGATGTGAACATCACAGAGAAAGTGAAGTGATAAGCAATATCCTATCTTTTCCGGCTTCTGGATGTATTTGATATCAGAAGCCACAAATCAAATTACTCATCAAAATAGTACACATGTAAGTCTCACCTGGGACTTGAATTAAACTCTCCCTGGACTAGAATTAAATGCTCAAATTTTTTTCAGTGATTAATCCAGATTAAACAAATACACATCGACCAGCAAAGTATTTATTGACATTTGTGCCCAAACACTTACAGCCATCATGTTTCTGAATAGCTCCAACTCCATCAGCTCCATTTACCTGAACTTCCTGTCCAGTACAAGATCACAAGGGACAGAGCAGACTCCAGCAGCTGTCCATCTACTAGCTTGGTGAAGGGAGGATCGGGCATCAGGGGACTGGTTTGCCTTGCTGTGCCTGTGTGTTTGTGAAGACACACACAGCTTACTAGAAGACACAAAGGTGGCTACAAAGGACCCTGCCAGAGAAAGGAACTACCCTAAAATAGAATATCAGGGCCAGTGCTCAGAGGACCAGCTGATTCGGTAGGAAACTAACACTTTTAAACCTTAAGAAGCAGCATCCATTTTGAATGATTTCATCAGCATTTGACATAGCTTAAAGTGACACCAAAATCAGGAGTTAAATCTTAAATATGCATGCAAGAACCTTAACTATTAACAGAAATGTATCTTATTTGTGTATCACTCAGCTGTAGATCCTCCAATCATCTCTGAATTGGTGGAGGAAGCCATTGTGGAGGAAGCCATTTTGGGGAGGCCATCAGAGGAACCACAGTCCGGAACCTGTGTATTTCTACAGGATGGGTAATATCCATGCATCCCACTGATGAGTTATGCTAACCAGTTTAGGATATTTAATGCGATGTAGAGGTGTTGGGTCGATTTATGATTTGATTCAGTATTGCTGGTTTACTTTTGATGTGTTAGTGTTTTCTTTATCAATGATCAAGCTGTGTATGTTTAAATTCCTGATACAAAATATATTCTTTTAAACCTACAGTTTAGGGTGTGTATTTCTTAGCTGTCCTACTCCTCTCAAACAGTGAAAAGTGGGTGTTGATAAATAATCTGGCTATTATTTATTAAAATATTATTTATTAAAATTCATATTATTATTATAATGAATATTATTATTATTACTATTATTATTATTTGTTGAAAGTCCCACATTTTTCTTACAATGATTCACCATTGACAGCATGGCTGCCTCTCGCCATGATTCTGATGCTCAGTAAATGGAGTAAGGTGAAGTCATCCATGATTATGGAGGTCATTGTATACTGGTGGATGGAATGTTCAGTAGCAAATTCCTTTTTTGAAGTATGTTCCATCGTTGTTTCTTTCCAGCTTTCCCTTAGATTGGTTTTAGCTCTACTTCCACTGGGTAGTGATCGCTGACAGCCAGAGCCTGCAAAAAACATATAAATGTAACATCATTAAATGGGGTTTTACAAGCTAAGTATGAGATTATAACGTTGATTCTATCATTCTATCATTCTAATACCTCTAATGAACAGATCTTATATTAACCATGGTAGGAATGAAACAAAGAACTGACTAATAACAGCAGCCTGTAATGCATTTTGCTGAAGTGAGCTGCTTGAGATCTTAAAAGAATGGGGCTTCCTCTGCCATGATGGAAATTTCAGTTCACACTGCTGCAGCAATTCTTTAGCGGATAGGCAAATAAGCTTCTGAAAACTTTTTGCAAGAGTCCCTTGAGGAAATGGGGCTTCAGTGACCTCCGAAACATGTTGGATAAAGCAACGGGCATCATTCCAAATAAGAACTAATACACTTTAGATTTTTGACCTTAACAACCATTGATGTGGTGCTCACTATGGTTTATACAGTTGGGGGTCAATTTATAAGCCTGTCACAAGGCCATTGCACAACGAATATGTTCACTGTGCAAAAGTATGCCAAAACGAATGTTATTTAGTTTTTCTTTACAAGGGAATTAATTTTTTTGTTTTTTTAATGTAATATCACATCATGCCACTAGACGGTGCTGAGGAGCATAATAAATAAATACTTATTCCCTATGTGCCTTTTTCTCCATCCAGTGGCCATAATGTATTAACAAAAAAAATTAAAGCATTTTATATCCTTGTAAAGAACAAACTAAATAACATTCATTTTGGCATATGTTTGCACAGAGTAAATGTTCTCAGCTATTTGCAGACCACTGAGATGCTCCTGACAGTGGCTCCTTTCCTTTCCAGGGTCCTATGTCACCACTCTTGTGTGTGCTAGTAAGCTGTGTGTGTGTCTACATACACACAGACACAGCAAAGTAAGACACTCCTCTTCTCCCTGCTCCTTCCTTCTAATCACTCCACCTCCCTTCTTCCTCTCTTCCCCCAGCTGGTAGATGGATAGCTGCTTAAGACTGTGGTCCCTCTGTGATCTTGTACTGGCCAGGAAGTTCAGGGAAGCTGAGCTGAGAGAGTTGGAGCTGTTTGGAAACATGATGATTGTAAGTACTTACAAAAATCTAAATAAATACTTTCCTGGGCAATGTATGTTTAATCTGGATTCATTATTAAAAAAAAATTTTGAGCGTTTAATACTACTTTAAGAGGAACTGAACTCTGTCCAAAAGAAGTGAAGGCAGAGGGCAAGTCTTCAGTATTGCATGTGGCCTCCCTGCAGCTGATCTTTTCCCTATTACTGACCATGCCTTGTTTTGCACTGTATCTATGTGTAAAGGCGGCCATCTTGCTAGAGGCAGAACTTTCCTTCCTCATCTCAGAGCCTCCAGCAAGGTGAACAGTGTGCAGCACAGAAGCAACAAATCTCACTCTCAGGCTAGGCTTACACTTAGGCGATTCAGATGCCGAGCTGTTTTTGTGCGGTTATCGCGCAGTTTTCAATGCATAGAGATGTCTATGGGACCCAACCCGAGTGACAACCGCCTGAAAATCGCTCCACAGGCGAATTCGTCCGCGCAACAACACGCAAAGGTGTGAACAGACTCCATTGACCTTAATGTGAATCTGTGTTTTGCGTGATATCGCGCGACCCAAACCGCGCGGTAAATCGCCTAGCTGTGAACCTACCCTCAATCTCCTGAGACTAGAGGAGTCAGAGACAGCAGTACCATAGATGATCTCACACTGCAGATACACAGCAATGAGGCTCCAGACCTAGGAGGGCCTAGGCACACTCACATACCAGAAAGCGCTCTGCTATTTTTCAGAAAGAATTCAATACAAAAGGCAAATTGTACTTAGGCACAACTTACATTTCGGATGTTCCCTATAAAATCGCAAATCTTCTCTTTTCGAGTTCTGGTCTACGTTGAAGGAGCAAAAGATGTATAATTTACCTTCCCTTATTCTTTGTTAGTAGTATAGTTTTTATTTCCCACCACGGGCCCGTTACTTCATGAAAGTTTGATTTCCAGTGTATCCAAAAATGAAAAGCAGACATGGAAAAATAGCTTTTCACTTTATATATTCACTATTGATTTCAGTCCTGGCCGGAGTTCCGTTTATGAGTGAAGTGCAGAAGTCCTGATTGTATTAAAATACTCCGTAAAAATGTTGTCGTCCCCACCCCCCCTTGGCTCACCTCCTCATCTGTCAGCTTATACTCGTCTTGGAAGTTAAAGGGCTTGGCGGAGTCTGGAACGATGTGCTGGATGAGATCCTCATGGACAACTATGCTAAAAGGCAAGAACCACAAACATTCATTCAACTAGTATGCAGGTTTATAAACTGACGGGTTTATATGATTTTTAAAAAAAAATATTTATATCACATTTTTATTTTACAAATACAACAATAAATTGATAATAGAAAACATAAAGTGTTATAAAAAATGCAGCACATCTCTGCAATGCATGCTCATTCCTCCATGTTTTCCCTTTAACACCTTCCTGACCAGCTCACACATATGCCGTGGCACCAAAGTGAGCTTTTACGTCTGGCCACCACATATATGTATCCTCTGTTCTGTGCTGGAAGTGCGCTAACTGTGCGCTCCTAGCAAGGTCTCCGACAGCTCCTGGTCACTGTTTACGACTGGGAACCAGTGGTGGGCATCTGATCGTCTGATTTCTGTGATTGGCTGTCACAGCGATCAAGTGATTGGGAACCCCTTTTTTTTTTGCATTGATTGCAACAGACACAACAAAACGCAGTGCCGAGATAATGGAACTCCTGCATGTATATGTGTGGCAAGTGCATCATCAGTGGCCTTCCCAATAGCACAAAAGGAGCAACAAGAACCATGAAAAAGACTGGTAGAAAAAGGTGACAAAGTACAGTACATACTTAGAGCTGTGGTAATGCAAATCTGATTTAAAGGCCCAATGCCAGCCAATGTTTTTTGGGACAGAACGGGCAACTGATTAAAGCCCTGTCAGATTTTTACTATTGTCTAATTTCCTGTCAGGATAGGAAATCAGGAGAAATCTTTCTACGAAGCACATTTCACCATAACACGTTTTCAGTAAGAGCCTCGGGGTTCTCTCTGGGTTGGTACCTCTATTAGGTTATTACTGCCACTGGATTAAGCTGAGGAGCATAGGACTTAACTTTACACTATACTGTACACTAAAGGAGGGGGGAAGTCAGGGATCTGTGAAGGCCACTTGAGTTCCTTCACACCAAACTCATCAAACCATGTTGGCTTTGTGCACAAGGACTCATTCTGGAACAGAAAAGAACCTTCACCAAACGGTTCCCTCAAGATTGGAAGAGCACAACTGTCTATAAAGTCTTTGTATGCTGTAACATTATCAGTACCCTCCATTGGAAAATTCTAAACTCAGTAAATTTGAAGGGTGTTCACATATTTTTTTTCTCCATACAGTGTATTTAGAAATTTTTTTACACTAACACAGAAGTTGTATACATCAGTCCCTTAGTGTAATAAACATGACTAAATAAAAGTATGTGAACACCCTTTAAATTGACTGAGTTTAGATTTTTCGAGAGGAGGGTACTGTTAATGTTACAGCATACAAAGACTTTGTAGACAATTGTGCTCTTTTCTGTTCCCGGAAGGCTGTGTCCCTGAACACAAAGCCAACTACTTAAAAACATGGTTGGATGAGCTCAACCCTACTGAAGACCTTTGGGATGAATTGGAACACCATTTTTGAGCCAGGTCTTCCCCAACATAAGTACTTGACCTCACAAATACTCTTTTGGCTGGATGGGCACAAATTTCCACAGACACACTCCAAAATCTTTTGGAAAGACTTCCCTGAAGAGTTGAGGCTGTTATAACTGCAAAGGGGAAGGCGGCAGTTCCATATTATTGGCCACGGTTTGGCCAATGTCCTACAAGCTCATATAGGTGTGATAGTCAGGTGCCTACAAACATTTTCCCATATACTGAATATCTTGCTGCGCTAAGAAAAAACAGTGTTATGAATGCACATTAGATGTATTTTTATACCGATCATAAGAGTGGTCCGTAGTGTTGCTGGCTGTCGTGTCTTTGTCATCTGTGATCAACCAATGGAAACTCTTATCGCTCCTCAGTCTAATTGTTTTCATCTTCTTCCCAGAGACGTAAGATCCATCCGCATTGAAATCTCCCAGTATCATAATATTCTGCGTTGAAAAACAAAATGTAAAGCAGAACTCTAGCTACAAATATCCCAATAAAGTAAAAATCACATTAAAAGATAAAATAGAAAAAAAAAAGCTCCTGCTACAATATTTAGCTTTAATCTCGAGATTTTTCCTGCGGTCTCATGGCCAGGATCATTCAAATCACTTCTGATCTCAGGTTGTCCAGGACCTGCTCCAGCCTGTGACTGGACAGTGAAAGAAGAAGCAGAACAGTGGTAAGCTCATCTCTCTGTCACTCTCCTTTCTCCTCCTATCAGCATGATCCTTGTTAGCACATGAACTTACTGGCTCCTTGTGCTACTTCTTCCTCTCATACTGCATGGCATGGTATCATCGCATGTAACATGCTTTCCACAATGCAACAGTGTGAATTGGCCCTGAATGTTTGGTTTAGATGGGCGAGTACTTTCTTCCATTGGTCCATTAGATACAAAACATGATACATTGCCTTGCCTGGAGATCTCCTATTATAAACTTTATATTATGTTTCCAGTCTGGTTTGCTTGGACGGCAGTGCATTATTACCGTGGTGCCCCATTTTTCTTTCACGTCAAGGTACACATCGTACAGCTCGTCTATCTCCCGCACGGAGTCTTTGGGAGTCGTGTGGATAGGGAGGAGGACAAAATCTTCCACAGCTGGAACGAAGATAAGAGAATATCTTATCAGGACAAGGACCAGCTATGAGCAGTAACATTTCATCTCTAATGCCTAAGCGCTACTACGTTCAACAGGAGCAAGCCCATTGTGTTCAATGACCCCTGTTCACATCTGAGTGTTCTGTCGCTTGTAGCAAAACGGTGAATTTGAATACTCGAAGAGTATATGAGCTTCTTATGGGGTAGAGTCAAGCATTTTGGACTGAATAGACTTCAATAGGAGCATGCAATGCATTTTTCACTCTTTTTTGGCCTGCTAACTAGTTTTGCATTAGCTAAAAATAATAATCCGAAATGCTCAATACTAGGGATGAACTGATACTAGTATCGGTATTGGTGCTGATACCGAGTAATTGGGCAAGTACTCGTACTCACCCAAATGCTCCTGAAAGTTATCCCAATACCGGAACATCCGGTATCAGGAAGCTTGGCTGCAGGTCATTACACATTGCCTGGCTTCCTGATTGGCCGGGAAGCCTGCTCCAGGCTTCCTCTTCACCTGGTCACGAGGGAGCATGGACCTGGCTTCCTGGCCAATCAGGAAGCCAGGGGGTGGGTAATGACTCATCACACGGCTTCCTGATTGGTCGGGAAGCTGGCCAATCAAGAAGCTGGGCAGCGAGTCATTACTCGCCCCCTGGCTTCCTGATTGGCCAGAAAGCCAGCTCCATGTTTCTTCGTCACCTAATCAGGAAGCCGGGCGGCGAGTTTTTACACGTGGCTTGGCTTCCTTAATGTATCCAGTATCAGTATCCAGTACTGGAAAAAAAATATCAGTACTCATACTCGATACCAAAAAAACGGTGTCTGTGCATCTCTACTCAATACTGAGATGTGCACAAAACTCCTTTATGAATGTTTAAAAAAACGCCCAAAGATACAGCTCAAGTGTGAATGGGGCCTAAGGTCCCTGTAGATGGCTCAAATTTCAGCCATTTCCTGTTGAGTCAGTCGAATGTTGGCCCTGCCGGCTTGACAAAAGTCAAATGAAACATAAACTGAGCCGGGTGGCAAATTATCGGCCAAACACAGACGGCGTCCTATCAGCACATAGGAGAGTCGGACGACATCTCTCACATACAATGCTCTCCTGCAGTCCAACACGCCCCATTGGACACTGCTCTAATCAGTATCCACTCTATGTTCACTGAGCAGAGCTGTTGATTGGAGCAGCGTTCAGTGGGGGGTGTCAGAGAGCTGGGATGCTGCTTGAGATGCTGTGTGAGAACAACAGCCCAACTCTCCTAGTGCTGCCAGAACATTTTTTTTTTTTTTAGTTTAAAAAAGCAGAACATTTTTTTTAATTCTGGCTGTACCACTCAGCAGATAAAAAAGCACAAAAGAGGCAAATTCATTCCTGACTGCATTACAGTAATACATTAAGAGTGTTCAAATGGGCATTAATGTCATGTCTAATTAATTGAATTATTAATTAATTTGGCATTTTCTTTTCATAATATTTAATACAAATCTCTAAGCACGGTAACTGTTGTCTTTCTACTTTCTATTGAATATGAACTGTCATCAGTAATTCTTTATATTTACATACCGGTCTCTTTTGATTCAAATCTGATGATAAAAGGTTCACGTGCAAAGACATCCTCATCTCCAGGTTGCATGTCAGCATATTGGTACTGTTCCTTTACCCTCACCAAGTCTTCCCTGAAAAGAGCATAAAGCCTAACTACAGATGGTTGTGATGGGTTTTGACATCTTAACATTTTACTCTATAAATTTAGTTTTGAATAGTTTAGAAAAGGATCTCCTGTGTCCCCATCGGCAAGATTTCCCTTCACTTCCTGTGTCACCTGCTATGTGTAAAAGAGACAGGAACTCCCTATATGCCCAATGCAGTCATACATCCCAGAGTTTCACCCTACTAAAACCTTTCTACAAAAATGTTTAAAGACAGCTGTATTAGGGTTATAGAGTCATTGTGTGCAATGTCATTAATCATTTTGTCATATACAATATCATTATGGTTATTATTATTATTGTTACTAGGGATGCACCGATACTAGTTTTTCGGTATCAATATTTTTCTTTTGGTCCCCACTGAAACCGAGTACTGATACAGGTACTACTGCTAGCAATGGCCGGCTTCCCGGCCAATCAGAAATCAGGGCAGCGTGTCATTACCGGCCGCCCAGCTTCTTGATTGCCTAGGAAGCCGGCTCCATGTTCTTTGGCTGGCTTGATGCTGATTGGCTGGGAAGCAAGCTTCCCAGTCAACTAGCATTGAGCCGGCTTCCCAGCAAATCAGCATCGACCCGGCTCCATGTTCCCTCACGGCACTGCTGGTCAGAAGAAATCTCCCTCTGACCAGAAGTTCTGGTATCGGGGGTAAGTTTTGGAGCATTTGGGTGAGTACGAGCCCAAATAATCAGTATCCGCACCGATACTAGTATCGTTATCGATGAATCCCTAGTTCTTACTATTATTATTATTATTGTTATTACAACTACATCTTTTACCCCCCAGCACTGCTCAGTAGCAGTGCTGACAATGCTGACAGTTCTCCTGCTATCTATTATTGATTCAGACGTCCTTTATATTACGCTCAATTACCTATTTTTTCAGCTAACACCGCCGACTGTTGCAGAGTTGGTTAGCCAGGGGGCCCGAATCAAAATTGTGCTATAGGGCCCCATTGTTTGTAGTTACGCCCATGTCGCCATCATTTACAAAACAAGAAATACCAGTTTTGGTCATGTTCACAACTTGGTACTGGTACAACAAATCGCTCTGCTGGTAACTGCGATGATAGACATGGGACAAATGTAGATAAGCCATCTTGTCTGTGTGCAGTGGCATTATTAACATGTTAGCACTGGCTTTAACATTGCTGACCTCCTTGCCACCTGTCTCCTTAAAGGGACCCTGTCACCAGCTTAAAAAATGGCAGGTAAAAGTCAACTATTTTGAATGCTTTTGCCTTCCCAAAATGCCTTTTGTTATTTTTTTGCCTATGCCCCTCGAAACTTGCTAGGGAATTAGGCTAGTGCTGCAGGAAAGGACCCTTGCTCTCTGTTGAGTCAGGGCTTGAACTCTCCAGTCAGTAGGGAGCATAAGCTTTGTTGATTGCAGAGTTATAGGTCTGATTCAGCAGGGGCATGTTGGAGCTCTGCAAAGAGACTACTGCTTCCACTACTTGCTTCCAAAGACAAGGTTCCACTCTCTAGCTTGCTGGCAGAGGACAAGCTTTTACACCTACATTCACACCTTTTGCAGTTTTCATGCAAACTTGCTCCAATGCATTTTAAACTCTCCCACCCCCTTATTACACAAAATCACGGTATAGTTACAGAAAACACAAAAGACATATGAAACATTAATCAATAGAACAATGAAACACCCAAAAACTGGCGCTCAAAGCCTAAATTAACACATTTATGGATAGACCCACATACAACAATTTTACTTACCGGTATAAAAACAGGTATTGTTCTTTATAATCACTTCTCCCCAATGGTTGACTTATAATGTACTGGTATGAAGCTCCTTTTTCACCCGTACTAGTGGAATAAATCAGACACTTTAATTGCACTAAAACATATCACATAAAAAGGATATACATATGTGATAAAACAAAGCACATGGAATTTTTTTTTAGCTACAAACGATTGTATTCAGACATTTTAGGAGCAAAGGCTGCAGTGGCTTATTTAAGCACAGTTAGGCTGACCATACACCTTGGGGTCTATTTATAAACAATTCAAAGAGACATTGGCCCTGCGTATCTCTTTGAATGTTTGTTTTGTGTGAATATTCTTGTAGAAGGTACAATGATGGCCATACCCAATGTAAAACATCATATTTTAGCATTTTAACCCTGACACTCACCTGTTTAGTTGCTCCACAAGCTTTTTTGCAGCTTTCTCTTTGGAATCAAAAACTTCCAGAAGTACGATGATGTCATAACGTAATATAATCTGCAAAGAGAATGGAGACTGTCATTCTTCTTCTTATTATTATACAGGATTTATATATAGCGCCAACAGTTTGCGCAGCGCTTAGTCATTTCTTCGTCTTTACATTACCGCTATAAGGAAAAAACCATAGAGACACAAAATGGGCCCCCATGTGCATTACCATATATGGGCAAATCTATGCCTCCCAACATCTCAATAAAAACTAATCAGGAACTGTACGTTCCTCAAAGACTTGCTAAAACCCAAACTAAATCTGTCCATGTTTGGCTACAACCACACCCATTTTGCTAAGCCCGCCCTTAACAGCATTCGAAATCGGACAGCTGATTACCTACGTCAGTTTTTAATTTGCTGTAAATCCATTGAAATATGATTTAAGATTGTAATCTACGAGTTGCAGCACTTAGCACAGCGGTAGGCAAACTCGCCATTTCAGCTATGGTGGAACAACGAATCAGATGAGCCATTGAAAAACTGACAAGTTTAGCTAGTACCAGTCCCTGGTGTGCAAAATGTTTGCCGAGACCCCTCACTTCTCATACAGGGACATTCAGCAGTCTTGCTTAAGAGGAACTCCATCCCAAAGTGGAGCAACAGGCTGAAAGAGAACAGCTCAAACATGTCTCAGGTCCTGAAGCCTGAACATGCCCAAATGCTCCGGTACCTACCCCGATACCGGAACTGACTGTCAGTTCTGCGAGGGAGCTTGGAGCCGGCTTCACGGGCAATCAGAAAGCCGGGTGGTGGGTCATGACCCACCTCATGGCTTCCTGATTGTCTAGGAAGCCGGCTTCACGCTGCCTAGGGACACTGCGAGGCAGTCTGGCTTCCTAATTGCTCAGCGCATAAAGCCAGTGTGCTTTCGATAGAATACTGGCTTCCCAGGCAATCAGGAAGCCGGATGGCGAGTCCTGGCTGGCCGCCTAACTTACAGATTGGCCAGGAAGCGGGGCCAACGCTACCTCAGGATGCGGGTATCAGTACTTGTTATTGGCGAGTATCGATAAAAAATATCAGTACTCGAACTCGTTACCGAAAAACCGGTATCGGAGCATCACTAGTTAAGGTATTAGAATTAATTTTTAAGATTTAAAGTGACATTAAACCCTCAGATGTTTTAACATAAAACAATACTGTAATGTGCGCCTTACTGTAATCCATGGTTCTTTCCCACCTCTTTGCTGCTCTTCCTTTTAAATCCGTATCTCTTCTCATGCTGGGCAGAACTTCTGTTTTGCAGCAGTCTGCCTTGTGTCTGAAATGGTGTCTGTGTGTAGGTTCACAACCTGAGCCAGCACTACAGGAAGAGGCACTCAGCTGCAAAGGAAAGTTCTCCCCCAGCATGAGAAGAGATAAGGATTTAAAAGGAAGAGCAGCAAAGAGAAGGGAAACCATGGATTACAGTAAGGCACACATTACAGTATTGGTTTATGTTAAAAAATCTGAGGGTTTAATGTCACTTTAACTCCTGAACTAGTGGGAGAGCTAAAGTAAACTGTGGAGGTCTGCTCTAAAGTTAACCTGCTGCTTTGCATGAGCAATACTCAGGTTTACGTTAAGGAGTAGCAGTGGGTTTGAGTCTTCAGAAAGCAGTCAGAAATGGGCAGATTTTACTCTTTTTATTTATGACCAAAGATGTTTTAGGTCATGGATTTTGTATAGGGAAGATACAATCCAAAAGACATCTGCTACTGTTGAAAGAACAGCCAATTGGAAGCAATGACCAAGAATTGCCCTGAACTGATACAAGTGTCATAAAAAAACTGCAAAAAAGGAGTTTTATCATACATTTAGATATGTGAGGCCTGGTATTACTACATACTGTACATTTGTCTTTGTTACACCCACCTTTGTGAGAATTGGGAACACATTGCAGTCTGTACATTTCTTCAGCCCGAACCTCCTTACATTGAACGAAGCAATCTTTATTCTTTTGGCCCTTATACGATGAAAACAACATAGCCAATCCATTTGTACTTTGCTCAAAGTGTTATAAACCACAGTTCACTCTTCCTTCACACAACTTTATCATTGAACTGAAAGTGAAAGACGACTATTCTGCCAAAACAGAGATAAGCAAAACAAGTATTGTGTAACAAAGGAAGGCTAGGAACATGTCATGCAAACCGTCATTTCTTTATGCAATATCTTGCAGTGTCAATAAATGATCTTCAATAAAATACAGTTTTTCATTTATGACGATGGTGTACTAAAGGGGTTTTTTCAACCACACAGCTAACTTCCTGCTTAGTAATCATACAGAAGATTACTTAAAGTAGTTCTTTACTTATATTTACTTAAAGTAGTTCTTCTTTATCTTGTCTTTTATTCCTTTAAATGAGACATTTTGTTTTCCAAGCTATGTTGCTGAATGAATTGTGACAGTTGACTTGTCCAGGGGCAGCCGTAATATTCCAATAGTTAATGTCTCCAGGGTTTAATTTTTTAAAGGATAGGCTGAGGCACCTGAAAACTTCTTATACCTCTTAGGGACTCCAGCACTGAAATCCACGTCAGTCTGCCCAAAATAATTCTCAGAGATGATAACTGTATCATCCATTAAAATAATATTTTTTTCAGGGACTCCAGTGGAGAGATCTCTGCATCTCAGTTCCCAGCCCCACCTACTGTTTGTGACCATGGGCGCATCACTCTCTTGCACTTGTGGAATTGCAGTAGGAGGAACGGTATTCTTCTTACCACTGCAGAAAAGTGAAACTCTATAGTTGGGAATAAGGGGAAAAGGGGAGGGGGGGGGGATGGACTGAGACCCCCCAGAAGAGAAGCCTCATTGCTAAAGTCAAACACAGAAAGTGATTCCCATCATCAGTATCTATGCATGACCAAAACATCAGTACTGGGTGCATTGGTCTTTTAGGCCTCATTCACACTGCTCAGAGCTGGCCCGTACAGATCCGTGCGGCGTGCATGGCCATATCGGGCCGCTCCTGGGAAGGACAGGTGCTGCGTGTGATTGTACGCAACAGCCTGTTCTTCTCTATGGGAGTATGCGGCCGTACGCCCCCGTAAGCTCACCCGAACTGCACATCCGTGCGGGTGTCCGTGCTCGGACGCAGACAGGATCCATCCTGTCGCGTCTGAGTACGGACACCCACACAGATACACAGCTCGGGTGAGCGTACGGCTGTGTACTCCCATAAAGAAGAACAGGCTGCTGCGTACAATCACACGCAGCACCAGTCCTTCCCGAGAGCGGCCCGATACAGCCATGCACACCGCACGGACCTGTATGGGCCAGCTCTTAGCAGTGTGAATGAGGCCTTACAGTAAATTAATTTAAAAATCCAGCACAGAGAGTCAGTCCTTTTTCTAATCTTTGAAGCCGGTGGGTGGATCTGGAAACTCAAGTGCAGAAACCACCCAAGTTCCCATTAAACATATGAAGTGAATAGGTGATTCAGATGCGATCCCATCAAAATATCTACTTTGGATGGGCTGATGTCTTCACGACTCTAGTCATGGCGAAGTTGCATCTATGTAGTTACATCACAATTTGTGTAATGTCTTCCCTACTGCTGTCGAAACTGTAAATGTCACAGCGTCAGCGCCTGTTTGAAAGCTGTGGAAAATAAATATTTCGGTGGTGTGCGATTCTTTTGTAAGTCATTAAATTTGAGTTGAAGTGTGAAAAAGCAGCCAAAGCACAGTCCTCTCTCTGCCTGGTAAGAAGATTATCTTGTCAGTTATGACAGGCAGAAAAAAATAGAGTTTAATCTGAGCAATTACCATGGAAGTCCACCTCTCCGATAAGCGAAGCAGAGCCATGAGATAAAAAGCTATGTAAATAGCTGTTTATGAGGAAATTGTTCTTTATGTCTGAACAGGTGTAAATGTACTTTTTTTTTTTTTGCACTTTTTTTTTCATTGGGGAATTTTGTACTTGCTACATGACAAACTACAATGACATGTTACAACATAATTCTATTACAAGTTGAGTGGCATTATGGGGTAGTGAACACAGTTATAGCCACAGTATGCTGTGTAGAATCAGGTTGGCAATCTGTAAGGCCCCTTTCACACGGGCGGTCCGATCACGCCCTCCTGTTAGTTTTTCAAGCAGCCCCGATCGCATACTTAATGCTTGTCTAGGGGCAGCCGCTTACCCCCGACTCCGGCCAGGTCTGAAAAAATAACCATTTCACCGGCCCTGATCGTTCTGGATCTGGGGTAATCTGATGTAAATGGACACATGTCCATTTACATCTGATTCCCATAGACCAACATGGGGTCTGTTAGCTTCAGACGTACATGGACAGGGCCGGTGCTAAACTATTTTGCACCCTTGGCAAGACCAGCTACTTGCACCCCCCAATCCCAATCCCCCACCCCACACATGCGGCCCCATTCTCCTGCCGGATAGCTTCCACAGGCGACAGGTAGATTAGTTTGCCTCTAGTGGCAGCACTGGCCCTGGACACGGATGTCACAACAGCAATTTATTTTGGATAATATTTTATATTGAAAAATATTGTTGTGGGCTTTTTAGGTACCCAGAAGATGAACCCAGACACATGTATGGATGCAACTTTTGGGTATCTAAAAAATATGCAACAATTTTCTTCCTTGTTCTGCTCTTTGTTACAAATAATCAATCAGTCAATCATACATAACAATGCTTATTCCAGTGTAGCTAACTGACCAAGTTGCCTATTGTGTATTTTGAAATAGAATTTAAAAATTGTTGAAATTTGGGGTATGTGCAAAAAGTACAGTAGAGACCTGTGTTGGGTTTCCCACATTTTACACACTAAGGTGTTGGGTTTAGTCCCGTCAGTTGAGATCGATGTGGTAAAATGTACGAGCTATAATACATTGTTAATACCATTCTTCTATAAGATGTTATTTTATTTATTATTTATTACAGGTATTTTTATAGCGCTGACAATTTACTCAGCGCTTTACATAGTTGCACATTCACATCAGTCGCTGCCCTTGAGGAGCACACAATCTAAGGTCCCTATCTCACATGCATACAGGGCGGATTTAGACGGGAGCCAATTAACCTTCCAGAATGTGTTTGGAGCCTGGGAGAAAACGGGAGCACCCGGAGGAAACTTATGCAAGCACAGAGAGAACATGCATACTCCTTGTAGATAGCACCCTAACTGGGATTTGAACCCAGGACCTCTGTGGTTTCTGATAACGTGTATTTTTGAAGGCGTGGTTCCAGCCTCCAGTAAATAAATAAATCATTTGCAACACCGCACTATACGTGGCAATGGCATTGCATTTTTAAATGGTGTTTTTTTTTACTGTAGCTACACATTTATGAGATCACTTCCGGAGCATCTTGGTAGCTTCTCATTCACACAGGATTTGGGCTCTTATGTTATCTTTTGCCCTATCTGAGGCTTCTGCTTTTTGTTTGCGGTTATTCTGCCAGTGCTGAGTGGGCAGTTTAAGCCCAGGACGGCCAGATCCTGGCCTCCCAGAAACTTGACCACCTCTCCTTGCTAAGTTATTTTGCCTCCTACCTAGCAGAAAAAACCCACATAAATAACCTAATTACTGGTCTGTAAATCACGCAGAACCATCAATTGATGAATGCCAATGACTTTCTTGGCTTTAGAACAGCTGCCAGACAGAAGATATGGTGTTTTGCAGACCTACAGCAAGTGTTGGCTCTAAAGCTGTAGATAACAATTTCAACTGAGCTTATATCTCCCTGCAACATTAATTGCCCCCCAACATCTACACTCAGTGGGCAGAAAAATGGAAACCCTGTAACTGCAGCACAAAGGGTCTCACTCTCTTCATCTGCATATGTGGAACTGCATAAAGTGGGAAAGACACTGGATTAGTGTGATCCTAGTTCATTTTATTACTTCATTGCTGTGCTATATGAGTATAGGCCAATGCCTTGGCTGGCGCTCGTGCAGAAAGTTTCTTGGGCAAACTCACCGGCCCAAGAACGTTCAGGAAGCGACAAAGAATATAACATCTGCTGTGCTTGTAAATACCTGAAGATATAACACTGATATACATTGCGACATGGGGCTCCAAGTTCATATTATCCGGAAGCCGGCGGAGAGGTGAGTACCGATCAAAAAAAAATTCATCGTTAAAAAAATTAACGATTAATCAAGGAATTAATCGTTAAGTTCCACAGCCCTACTTCTCACCCCTGAAAATCAGTACAGAGAAAAACTTTTCTTTCAGAATAGAGCAAGCAATATGTCATCTTTTTATGCTATGTGAATGGGACATTGTAACAAGCATAAAAAAGGTGTTATCCCAATTTGGCTGCAAAAGTGGAAACACTCTTCAAGGTTAACAGCTTCCCTGTTCAATTAAGCTTTGAAAATGAAAGAAAGAAGCTGATTGGTTGTCATGGGCAACTGCTCCAGATTTGATAAATTCCCCCCTATGTGTCTTTACAAACGCTCTGTAGGACGTTGTGTTTCCTACTAATGCAAGATCGTAGAAGGGAAGCTTCCCATTGCATCATGGGGGCTGAACTTTTCTTAAGACATGCCAAGGAGATGAAGTGACAAGATAAGAAAAAAAAAGAATTTACATTTCCATATGTATAACGCAGAAAAAATGTAAAGCTAGCCATAGATTGCTCAAATTTTGTCTGATTTCTGCTGAATCGGCTCAAATTTGAGCCACCTGGCTCCACATAAGTCAATTTACAAATGAACTAAAACGGGTGGAAAATTATTGGCCGAACAGTGACAACATCTTACCACCCTGTCCACGCAATGGTGGTAGAAGTAACCAATCAACTAGCTGTGCACAAAAGAATCAAAGTTTCCATATAAGAATCTAAGAAAACTTTTTAAAAACATATCAATATAATATATACACAATTTACATTAAAACAATCATAGACTACAATCTCAATACAAATGAGTAAACTAAATATGACATAGCAGTCCATCACAGGAGTGAGCTAGTGACTACTTTACAACACACACAGGGACAATGGGGAACAAAAGTAGCCTCCC